GTCTATCTTTGGAGGCATTTCTTCTAATTTTCAGAGTTTTCACTTAGTACTTTTTTCAAAATCTGATATATATTTTTCCAAAATTTCTTTTTCTTTTTTCAGAATTCTTGAAGTTTTTGGTGGACAACAAGTCCTTTTATAATTTTTCAATTTTTCATTTATTTCTTTACTTTATTAAATACATTGAGTAATTATTTATACTATGTTATGTAAAGCTATGATATTATTATCTTGTATATTTCCAATTATCTAACTCAAGTTTAAAATTACATTCATATCTGTTTCTGCTTCTTCCCAGTAGGCTGATCCCTTTCCTTCCATTTCTTTAAGTATTTCTTGTTCCCAAACTTTATATAATTCATCTTCTACAATATTATCATATCTTACTATTCTTTCTTTTACTCCTTTTATTTTTAATTCTTTCCTATTAAAATCACTATTACTATAATGGTTTATTTTCCATTCCTTAAGCTCTTTCCATTTTTCAGACCATTCTTTTGTATTCAAAGGTTTTTTCAGCATATAATACAAATAACTTTCTTTTTCTTTGATAGCCATTTCCTTTTTTATTTTCTCTTCTTTTTTAATAGCTTTTGCTTCCATTATTTTCTTCTCTTCTTCCATTACTGATATTTTTTTAGTTAATATATCTATTAGTTTATTTGGTGTCATTATGCCCATTGCACATTTTACAAATGCCAATTGGTACATATCTTTAATATTATGTGTATATTTTTTATTCATGTTCTGCTGGATTTCTTCCATTACTTTATAATTATCAAATAATGTTCCTTCTTTGATATATTGGGGTGTTTTCTCCAATGAAAATATTTCTTCAAAGAATTTAATTCCCTGAGGTATTCTAGCATTATCATTGGTTTTGCTTATCTCTTTTTCTATATCAAAACTCTCTTGTCTCAAGATTTCTATTTGTTCCATTTCTTCTTATACTGATTCGTCTACAAATTCTTCAGGTTTTTTATTAGTAGTTTCTTCTACTTCAAAAATTTCTTGTTCAAGTGTTTCAATATATTCTAGTTCTTTATCTGTTGGCTTTCTGATTGGATTAAATCCATCCAATTTTCTGAATTTTGCAACCATTTCATCACCTTTCTTTTTGATTCTTTCATTTTGTTGTTTCAATAATTCATTAATATCTTCTTCAGATTCTAAATTTATTTCAAGATTCTTGTATGTTTCATATGTAATTTTAGTCATTTCTCTGTTTTGTTTCTGCATTTTATCAATTTCTTCTTGTGTGAAATGTTCACTGTCTCCAGATTTATAGTTTATCCAATGTTTAAGGTTTTCTGAAGAGATACTTATTTCATCTTCTGATTTTGATTTATAGTCTGATTCATCCAAGGAATCTAATCCATTGATATATTCTTCCAAGTCTTTTATTTCCTTACTGGTAATTTTTCCTTGTGATTCAATTATATCTTGGAGTTCTTGTTCTTTTTCCTGTAGATTTCTTTGGTTTATATTGTCAAAAAATCACATTGTATTATCTATTAGTTTCCACTTATCATTTTTTACCCATTCCCTAAATATTCTTGTTCTCCAATAGGGGTCCTTTTTATCTACATCAATTTCTTTTTCCTTATTACAGTAATTCTCAAATGAATCTTTACTATCCGATTGGTTGTTTTCTTCAATTTCTAAACATTGGTCTTCTGGTTCTTCTAGTGATAAATATAATTCTTTTTTATATATAGAAGGGTTTTCTTGAGTAATTTCTTGTAGTTCAACTGTGTCTTCATCTTGTGAGGTAATCCATCCTAGGCTATTTGTTCTTCACAAATTTGTTTCTTTTTTCTGTGACTCAATCATTCTTTCATCAAATGTCACTGCTTTCCGTGGTTTTGGTCTTTAAATATTTATTGCATCATTTGTTATATAATATTGCTTTACTGAGTTTTCTTCATCACTCTCATTTTTAATCTCTTGGAGTTCATTGGCTTCTATTTTGTTATCTGGTTTCCTATTTAGAAGTCTAATTATTGATACTATTCCAAACGGTTGTGGCTCTTTCTTTTTAGGTTCCTTAGTTATCTTGATTCCTTCTTGTGTTGTCTCTATTGTTTCAACAATTTCAGTTGTTTCTTCAATTGTTTCAAGACTTGTATACTTAGGGAATGAATCAAGTGTTTCAGTTGATATTCTGGTGTTATATATATCTCTCCTAATTCTTCTTGTACTTGCTCTTTGGTTTCCTCAGGGAACTGATAGTTCTCTTTTTCCTTTAAAAAATATTTACTATCCAAATTTTCAATATATCTGAACTTGGGTTTTTCTTGGGCAAGGTTCTCTCCAGGCTGTTCTGGGATTCCTAGTGTTGCCTTTATTCCAAATGTAAGGGTCTCCAAAGGATTTTCTTTTTGGTCAGTTTGATTATTTAGTTGAGTTGATTCAGTTTGTTGGTTTTCTGTTTTTTGAATCTCCAAAGGTTCTGTTGGAGGGTTTATATAATTTTTCTGAATTTTATTTTCTACTATTTTTATTTCAACAGTAAGTCCTAATTTTTGGATTTTATTCATTGTAATTGGTAGAATTATAAATCTTTCTGATTCCTTTTTTTCAGTAGATGATTCTAGGTCTTTCCATAGGGTAGGTTCATCCCATCCTCCTAAGAATTCCGATTCATTTGTTCTATTTTCTTCTTTTTTATTCTTTCCCTCATAAGATTTTGTACATATACAGTAGTCATACAATAACTCAGAAAGTTTTCCACATGTGTTGCAATATCTGTGTACATGGTGGTCTTCTGATCTCATGTTGCAACTTTTACATAATTTCCAGCATTTTCCCATACTTCATGTGTTCTTTCCTTTCTTTGCTCATCTGTTTCTTGTTGTCTTGATTTTTTCAATTCCCTATTCAAATCGTAGTGTTGTTTGCACATATACTCTGTTCCCATCTGATAATCCTCAGTTATTCTTTTACTATATTCATAACAATATCTTGTTATTTTTCCTTTGAATCTTTTATATTGTCTCGGCTTTTCACTATTCTTTATTATTGTTTAATTTTCTTTGATTTGTTTTCTGATCTCCTTCCAGCTTTTTCCTTCTTCTTCGTCTTTTCTTTTTTTTCTACATTCCCTAATAGGATGTCCCTTTCTCATACAATAATAACATTCTTTAAAGTATTTATCTATAGTATGGTTTTTCGCTATATGGTGATTCCACTTCTTGGATTTCCCTGATTTGTTGTTCAAATCGGTTATATTCTCGTTGTACTCTTGGGTAATCCATATTTTTTTCGTTGTAGTATGTTGATAAGTCTTGTTGTTGAGTCCATAATGTTTTGTATTCCTCTATCTTGTCTTCTTCCATACTCATATCCGTATCCTATATGATTACTTCTTCCATTTCTTGGTTGTCTTGAGTAATCCACTCATTATCCTCTATCATTTCTTTCTTTCTTTGAGTTGCTGCTAGACCTGCTTCCATTTCTTTTTTTCTTTTTTTCTTGTTTCTTATCCTCTTTCTTTTCCTCAGCTGGTCATTTAAGAATTTTCTTTTTATCACCGTCAGTTGCTAATTCCTTTTCTTTGGTATTAGGAAGTTCTTCTGTTGAGACTTTTTCGAATTCTTGAATAAATTCTTGTTCGATTTGTTTCTCTACTTATTTTTCAAAGTCTCTTCTTTCAATAATTTCAAAATCTTTGTTTGTTTCTTCCTGTTTCTTTCCTTTTAAGTCTTCTCTTGTTACAACCATTCTTCTTTTAAGAGAAGTGTCTTGTTCGTTCTTTAGGTTTTTGTCTTGAATTTTGATTTCAATTCTGCCAGATTAGTATAGCATGGCTGCTTCTTTTATAACCAATTTTTGTTCTAGCATATTTCTTTCCTCGTTTTTCTAAAAGTTTCTTTTCCTTCTTTTTGCATTTTGTTCTATAACATTCTTTTTATTGTTTTGTAAATATTTGTTTTGAATTGTTCTATTTTATTCTACTAATATTATTTTATTATTTAGCTATTCGCTATATCTGTTCTTGCCTTTACTTTTTATCATGCCTAGGGTTTGTCTTTCAAATCACTCAGACTATTCTCCTTTCTCTATTGGTAACTATCATTCTTCATTTGGTGAACATTTCTCAGGTCGTCAATCTGAGTTTTCAAATGAAAAATCATTTCTCTGTGCGCATATTAAGTTTCTTGAATCTAAAAGAAACTTTTATTGTACTGAATTTAAGCATCTTAGCAATCTTAATCACAAGAATTCAAAACCTATATTAGTAGATGAATTTCTTTACTACCATTGCAAAAACAATATCAAAATTTGTCCTCGTGCTCGTCTCTGTACCAGAGGCACTCATCATTACAGTTCTAAAGATCTTACAACCATTCGTTCTAAATATACATGTTGCTGAAATTCGTAGATCCTTGACGCAATTGACACAATTATTTGACGCAATTAATTGAGTCACTATTAAAACATATAAATAATTGAGTCATGACGCAATTATTTTTGAGAATTTTGGGAATTGAGTCAACAAAAAATAATTTACGCCACATGTATAGTTCTAAAGAATTGTTTTATGACCCTTTTGTGGATCGTAATCCTATTGTTTACATTACTTCTTTAGAGTCTATTCGTTCAAGTCCTTCAATTGTTTAAATGGCTCCTTTAGAACTTTTCATTTATGGTTCTTCGAATTATTTAATTAATAATTATCATCAAGAGATTATTGATCTCACAGATGAATGACTTATTTGTTTACTTTTTCCATCTTATTCTTTTTCTTTCCTTTGTATTTTAATTGGTTTCTTTCTATAATCTTCTTATAATCTTAATATTAAAATTATTTTCTTGCTTATCGACAAGTTTGATTTTCGTGTTATTTGTTTATTGTTTATAATCCACATGTATCATTTTTGATAATATTGGATAATTCACAGGTATCACAGTTTTTCTATGTCATTCTGTTTCACATTAATTTTATTGGTCCTTATCATTTATAAATTCACTAGGTTTTTCTTTTTCTTTGTCAGAAAATGCCTAAGGATAAACCTTCCTTTAAATCTTCCAATAAATCTATTGATCCTTACACTGTTAATAAGATTCTTATTCAAGAGGTTAAAACTTTTCAAGACCAGAATAAAAATCTTTCTGATACAATCAGTACAATTAATAGTACTCTTACTCAGCTTTCAAATCTTGTTTCTAAAGTTATCATCCTTGCAGTTGCTTCTTATACTGCTGTTCTTCAATATCATAATTTTTACGATAAAAATTATCACTATATACCTTTAGAAGATACTTCGTTATCTCAGGATTCTTTTCTTGTCCCTGAAAACTCCCAAGATTTTTTTGACGATATTCTTGTTGAATTATTAGTTAAAGATTCAATAGAGCCCAAAATTTCTGATAACATACCCAGTTTTGTTGATGACTTGATTATCACTCTTTCTAATGCCTCGACATAACAACTCTTTATCTTTACAAGGCTCCTTTCTAGATAATCCTTCTAAATTTTTAAATATTTTAAAAGTTAAAGATTATCACAAATGATATTCTTTTTTATTTAATCCTTCTTCAAGAATTGTTTCTGTTACCAACATTAATACTGGTAATACTTTCGCTTGTTTTGATTACGATACTCTTAATTCTTTTCTTAATGCTAATCTTCGTTCTTAGTGTATTTCTCCTTATTGCATATTTTTTACTATTTTTTATTATTTCACTTCTTTATTATTTATTGTAATATTAACTATGGGTAATCCAATGTTTTCTTCACATTCCTCTTCTTTTTCTTGCGATCATCCTAAGCAATTCTTGTATTTTCTTGATCGTTCTAAATATCTCTATCATTGTTTTAATGGCTATTTTTTTATTTATGATAAGTCAGAGAATCTCAGAAAAGTGAGAAAGATTGATTACTATTTTCTTAGACTTTTCTTGTTAGATCACTTCTCATGGTTATTCTTTCGTCTTAATGAATATATTATTGATCCTCAATAAAATTTATTATTGAAAAATATAAAATTATTCCAAAAATTATGCATATTGCTGCAAATACATATTCATCAAAGGGTATATTTGTTTGTTTTTTCATTTTATATTCTTTAAGATATCTACACAAATTGTTCCTATCTGCCAGGATTATATTATACTTTGAATCTCGGGCTTCTTGTATTGCCTTTTTTGTAAACTGATCTTGAGTTCTTGTGACGATTATCCCTATCGTTCCTTCTTGTTCTCTGCTCAGGAATCCTTTAAGTTCTCGTATGGTTTGTTGCACTATTATTTGATAGATAGTTAGTTTTATTTCTCACAAAGGTTCCTTAAGAACGTTCATGATAGGTCGTCCTTTTTATATCAAGTCTTTACTTGACTAATGACTTTCACAAATCATGGCCCGATGTGCTTTCATTAATTCTCCTTATAATTGCCTCACCCTTACTTGCCCACACATAATAAATAACTTTTATTATATGGCAGCGAAGTCAATTATAGTGATTCATAAATCTAGTAAGTTTTCACTTACCAATCTATATTTCTTCCGTTTCTCAATATATTCCTTTTATTATTAAAAAATACAAAATTATTCCACAAATAAAAGATAGTTTAAGTACATTTTTTGAAAACTGAAATACTTCCATCCTTGCAACAAAATCAATAAGATCTGTACACAAATCATCTATACTTGTTAATAATATTTCGTATTTTGATGTTCGGGCATATCTTCTTGCTCCTTGTGTATATCGGTTGTTGGTTGGAATTACCACAATTCCTATGGTTCCAATCGGTCTTCTCCCTAGTGTTCCCTCAAGTTCCCTAATAGTGCTTGGTCCTATAATTAAGTCTTGGTAAGTGTGCATCATCACTATCAAGATTTCCTAAAGAACGTTCACAATAAATTTTCTTTATTGCGGCCACGATGAGCTTTCAATTTAGTCCATCATAGAGTCATTTCACCATGAACCTGGCCCACATCACAACCCCCACTGTTGGCTAACAGGTTCACATTTCTGGGGTTCTATGCTGGCAGCGTACCTATGAACAGTATAATAGCTCAACAGGCTTAGTAAGTCTTTCAACTTACCAATTTTCACCGTCATCCAGTTCTTGGCTTGTATTATAAAGGGTCTTCCTGCTATCGTTCCCTCGATATCTATTCCATTATCCCCTTTTCTTCCAACTCTTCTTGATTCGATATTTATTTGTTGGAGTTCTCTATGTGCTTGTTTTTCAAGAATATTCCCCTTAGCGACGGGTGAAAGCATTTTTTATTTTTTATAATTTCAATTATACCTTCCTTTACATATTCCTGATGGGTCATTTTATTTTGATATTAAAGTTTTGTTTCTTTGTCGTTGAGAGATCTCTTTTGTTAATTATTGATGCTTCTTTTATTATTTTTTAAGGAACTGCGCATGTGGCATTGCTTCAATAAGTATCATGTGTTCTTTTGACTTATAAGGCTACTTACATTGCTTCTTAATTCTTATTGGATACAATGATCCATCCCCGTGTTACTTGTTTACATCTTTTGATTTTGCTAATCATTCCTTCCCGTGTTTCTTCGTGTCAATTTTTCTCCTTATATGTTTAACTTATTTCTTTTAACAGGTTTCTTCAGAACTTTCTCAAATATTTAAAGATAAGTTTATAGTTATCCGTTTTGTAGTAATTTGTTTTCTATTGTTAACTATGTCTTCTCGTTCAGTTACCCCTTTAAGTGATGTTCCTTTGTCTCGCCGTGTTATGGTTACTAATTCTAAAGGCAGAATTATTTCTGTTGTCTCAGAGAACTTTCTCGGTGGCAGTGCTTCTTCTCCTCCTTCTTCGGGTACTGAATATATTCCTTCATCTGAGCCTCCTGAAGATGCCCAGTCTGAGGTTCCTTCTGAAGTTTCTACTATAGAAGCTTCATCATTCTCTACCCATGTTGCTCCTAGAGGTCGTAAGGATATCTTGTATCCTTCAAGGTAATGATTGTTCTCTTTCTCAAGAGTTCTATTCCATAATCTTCACTTATTGCATTCACTTGAGTGCCTTCGCTTTACATACATTCCTTTTCTTTTCCTCTTCTTTAATAAATCTGTTTTTCTGTTCTCGCAAGTTCATCTCATGTGAGGTGGATAGAGTTCGCTTTTTTGTCTGGTACGTCGTTATGCTCAGGCATCTAAGCAATTTGGATCAGATGTGATCATGAAGGAGTGGTTATGCAACTGGCAGACTTTAATTAGTCATACAATATCATTTGTTCGCTACATTTTAAGGAGATGTTATTGGCCAGAGATCAAACTCGTTTTCCTTCTTTAGCAATCATTACTTTAACTCTTTTTTCCTATAATAGATTGCCTGTTCCTTCCTCTACTCATTTTTCTGGTCATATTCTATGTCCTTCTTGCATTGGTCGATGGCAAGAAATTAATCATCTTCGCAAGGTTATAGAATCAAATACTTTTGGTTCTTCTTGTCAAGAATGCCAGGTTCTTCGCCGGTCTCTTGATCACATAAAGACTATTTCCAAAAGTTCTCTTGTCAATCCCCCTAGTGATCGTTCCTCATCTAATTATGTTGAAATGTTGTGTGACAGAGTTCATGATCTCGAATTAGAAATTTCCTTTCTTAAAGAACAGCTTTCTAAATCATAATAAAGTCATTGGTGTTTTCGTTATCATCTGTTCCTTTTTTGTTTTGTCTATATAAATTCTATATTTGGTGATGATCGTTAAATCTTCTCATCTATTTAATTGGAGATATTGTTTTTTTCGTTCATCATTGTCTAAAATGTCTTCTTCACCTTGTTTTGATTCCATCTGGTAAAATTATATTTCTTGTTTGACTCTTTATCAACGTCTCTTTTCTTCTTTTTTATTTACAATTATTTTCCTTGCAGCTCTATCTTGGATTTACTTAAATCTCTTGAAGATGATCTCGTTCAATCTAACCATCTTCCAGTCAGTATTCAAGAATCTATCCTCAATATTCGGACTTATCTCAGATGTCTTGAAGTCACAGAGGGTTCTTCTATTGTTACTTCGGTTCAAGAAGTCATCCGGAGTCATTTTCCATTATTTCCTCTGAATCATCCGCTTTCTTCGATGATTGATTACCTATGTCTTTCTTTTACAAATTCTTATGATATTATGCATAAAGAGCTTATTAAACTTCAAAATATCATCTCTACTCTTCGCTCAGAGAATTCTTCTCTTAGAGAGGAAAATCAATCTCTTCATAATATCATTAGAGATCTTAAATCTCAAAATATTATTCTTTCGTCAGAGAATTCTGCTTTTCGTGAAGAAAATAAGTCTTTTCGTGATCTTATTGGTAGTTATAAAAGTTCTTAGACATTCTTCTTTTTTCTTGATCAGATCTTTCGATTTTATTCTTTAACCTTCTTTTTGATTTTATTGGTATTTCAATTATTTCCTTTTTTCTTTTGTTATTGTTGTATTTTTCCATAAGTTTCTACAAGTTTGTGTTCCATCAAGTGTTAATAAAAGATCTTGATATTCTCTACATTATTTCTAAAAATGTCTTATACTACTATCTCATCTGGTTCTTCTACTTCAAGCGGTTCTCCTACTCCTGAAGATTCAACAAATGCTCCCATCAAAGATCTTAATACAGCTTTAATCACTCTTTCTGATGTCCAAGATTCTCTTCGAATGCTTTCTTATCGGGCTTCTTGGAGTGAAACTCGTCGTGATCATCTTGAAGGCATCCTAGGTTCTGCCCGCTCCTTTATTGATGCTACTTTTCCACACGTTCCTTTTATGCGGAATAATCCTCTTCATATTGCCGTCAGAGATCTTTGTCATTTCTACACAAACTATTACATGAGGACTCTTCAACTTGAAGCAGAAAATACTCGTCTCAGAGAAGAAGTTAATTCTCTTACTCGTATTAAACTTGAGCTTGAAGACCACATTCATTATCTTCAAAGTCCTTCTGATGATGATTCTCCTTAACGTTTCTTTTTCTTGTCTTTCGTTCAATATATTTTGTTGTTTCTTTCTTGTACTTCTTGATTATTAATATTACTACTTAAATATTTCCTTTAAAGGATTCAATAAAGTTTTCCATAATATTATTGGTGCTTAATTATTTCCTTGTATACTGTTTATCGCTTTCTGTCTTCCTTCTTTGTAAATGATCACAGTTGTTATCTTGCGTATTTAAAGAGTATGATATGTTCGTCATTTTCTCCAAAATGTCTTCTTCAAATATCAACAAGTAAGACTTTTAATTGATGCATTTGTTCTCTATTCTTTCTTTAATTTCTTTTTCTTATAGCGCTCTCCAAGATCTTGATACAGCCTTGGTTGCTCTTCGTCGTGCTCAGGATTCTCTCAAAGCTTCCTCTGAGGACACTCCTTGTTCTCGCTGTGTCGTGCTTGACAATTTTATTTCTTCCTCGATTTCCAAAGCTCTTTATTCTTCTACTTCAGAGGGTTTCGTTCCCCCTCCCAAGTCTTCTTTTACTCTTGTTGAGGAGATTTGCAATTACTTTCGTCTTGCAAATAAGGAAATTAATCGCCTCACCAGAGTTCTTGCTGAAGAGGAAAAAGATTCTGCTGAGGAGACTAGTGAGCTTCATGCTGAAATTACTAAACTTCGTCATAAAATTAAAACTCTTGAAGAAGAAAATAAATCTTTGAGGAACCTCTAAAGACATATGATCTTCATCACGTTACTTCGTGGTGTCATTCTATTTTCTTCAATGTCATCAATAAAGTCTAATATTTGATCATTAC